TGATTTCAGGTGTGAGCATGCAGATCTCTTTTGTTTTTCCATGTGGTGGAGACCCTGCGGTGAACGCTCCTGGACCACGGCTCAAACTAAGCCTGAACTTCAGAAGAGCTGGCCCAGGCTGCCGCTGCGGGAGGGCGGCTGCTCCGACAGCGCTTCTGCAGAAGCCAAGGGGAAAAGGGAAGGTCCTGCAGGAGACCTTCCTGTACGGCAAAGAGGAGTGAGATGCTGGGAAGCCAAGTTGCAAAGCCCCATTGCAAAATCTGCACCATGCAGAACCCTTCCGTGCAGGCGTTTCTCGATGGCGGGTTTCGGCTGCGCTTCCCAGAGCCTCCTCTAAAGAGGAAATCTGTTTGGCTGTGGGGCTCCGGCTTTCAAGCTGAATTTCTGCTAATGCTGTAGGAGGGAAGCTTGCAAATGATGGCTGCGTGCGATCCGAGGCTTCCTCTGATGTCACGTATGTAAAATATAGCCTTTACTATAACTGTCCCCGAACCGCTCTGGGATCCACATAGCACTCGACAGCTACCCCCGGGTCTCTCTTCTTGTCTTCCCCTGAACTGCAGATTCCAGGCCCTTTTTATAGGCAGCACCTGTTAGTTTTCCCCACAGGCAGCCCCGCTGCAGGTGAAATTCCAGCAGGATTATTTTGGGGCTTCTCTTGCCCATCGGCCCGTTCCTTCAGCAAGTGACCATGGGGCTCCGGATGCCGGTGACCAGCTGCACGTTGCTTCTGGAGCACGCAGCCCTCCCCTTGCCATCCCGGAGCTCCTTACCCGGCTCCTTCAGAAGAGGAAAAAAAAATCTATTTTTATCAGGAAGCATCCAAGCAGCCATTCCTGAATTAAACCCCGGCCTCTTGCAATCTGTTCGGTATCAAATACTTCAAAAGGTGGAATACAGAAAAAAAATGTGTCACCGAGACGGAAAACTTGCGCTGCAGCGGGAGAGACGGGGATTATTTTGCTCTCAAATTAAACCGAGTAACGGGAGGGACGCTCTGCCAGACCAGGCGCAGCACGACACCTGTGCTCGTGCCTCTTCTCCAGGCTGGAAGTGCTCCGGGTCCGCATTGCGAGGGTGCTCCCATCTACGTGGGAACTGTCAGGTGGTGATTTTCAGGGCTCTAAAACCCTTTGCTAATTCTGGAGTGTAGGATAGAGCAGATTACAGGGGCAGAGCACCTAAACTCCCCTCGATCTTGGTGGTGAAAGGATTGCACTCTGACTCTAGGTGGCTTGAAATCTAAGTCTAAGAAAATAGTGTCATCGGGTGGCACTGTGAATGTGCAGGTGAGAAGCAGGTTTGTGCTGAACCGGTGATTGTAGTGACAAATTGTGGTGTGTCCCGTGTGTTTGCAGCATGAAGACCCCCCCGCATCCTGCTCCTGGTGCACAAGCACGTCGTGAGTGTACGGGGCTCGCGCACGCTGCTGGCAAATACCTGCTGGGAGGGGGCTCGGCTGGGCTCCTGGCCCTGCCGCTCCTCGGGGCGAGCACCCAGAAAGGGGAAGGAGGAGAGACATCTTCTGCTGGGTGCAAGGAGAAGCTGCATTCAGGGGGAAGGGAGGAAAGGAGCTTCAGTGGAAACTTTGCATTTTCTAACTTGCATATTCTGGGTTTTTTATCAACTTCCCCTTCGTGTTTTCCCATCGCAGGGGGGCTGGGGCATCGCTCTGCACGCCACTGCTGGAGTTTGCAGGTGTTTCTGAGCACACAGTGGGTCAGGTTGGTCCTGGAGTAGGGCTGTTGGGTGCAGGGTAGGCAGGTGGAGAAGTTGGGAGGTCTGACGGGGACTCGAGCTCCTTGGCTGGGAGGTGTGAGCAGGTCTTGTTAAGGCAGTGTGGTGTTAACATCACCATGTCGTGGCTGAAGCTCGTGTATAATAGATCTCCTGCAAACCCTGAACGGGGAGACCTGAAGAGCACTGGCCAAGCAAAGCTGTGTGTGAAAGTCTCTAAAGTACCGTGGTGGCTCACAACAGAACATGTGGAAAAATACCCCAAAGCCACATTTTAGTCCTATCCGAGAGGCTAACTAGAGCCACGCAGTGTTTTCTGCAATGACCTGAGAAACTGAGAGCTGCCAGCAAAGCCTCCTGGCAGGCAGCACTGGCAGCAGCACGAAGCCCTTTGTTTCCTGGCTGCTCTTGGGGCCACTCTGGGAGCAGCAGCACCATCAGAAAAGTCCCGTGCGGCAGCGGCCCCGCTGCAGCAGCACCTCTGGCAGCCTGTCACTGGACAGCAGCGCACACCCTGCCTGCAAATCCCTCGGCACAGGGAGCAGGCAGGGCGCTTGCACGCCACTGCCTGGCGAGGACGTGATGTGGGCTCAGCGGTGCGAGACGCGTACAGACCATCCGCAGCTCAGCTGCAAACATGGGCTCTCAGAGAGGCAGCCCTGCTGCCTGCAAAGGTAAATCCCTGTGACCCTGGGAAGGCAGGAGCCTTGCGCCGAGGCTGCGGTGAGCTACAACCCAGCCATGCTCAGTTTAACTGCCCGGCGCTCTTGCGGATGTTGCTCTGACGCCCCATCACTGCAACCAAGAGACATGCTTCGGGGTTGAGCAATGCCTGTGCTGCTCGCCCCGACCACGCTCCGGTGTTGGGGCCAGCTCCAGGACCCCAAAACAGGCGCTTCCCCCAGCTCTCTCCCCTCCGGCACGGTGCGTGCCTCGTGGGGAGATGGACAGATGGAGAGAGGGAGGACGAAGAGGAAGCACTGGGCTTGCCGCAGGCTGGGCTGGGCTCGGATGTGCGGGGTGGTGCTGGCCCCTCTAAGCAGGGCAGCTCTCCCCAGTGCAGGGGACCCTCGAGGGGACGTGGGGGATCACCGCCCTGCAGAAGTCTCTTTTATGCAGGATTGCAGAGGGGAGCAGTGAGCAATGTGTTCATCATGGGGTGCAGAGCTCCTGCGGCGGGGAGGAGGCCTGGTGCTTGGCCCCCCACTTCCCAAAGCCCTTGCCGTGTTGCAATGCCACACGCTAACAAGTGGTGAGGCAACGCAGGCTCTGTTTGCCCAACTTGGTGGAGCGAGCACTTAGCGATGCGGCCACCCTGGGTGTGCAAAGGGGCCGGGGGTTCTGCGCGGTGGGTGGCTGGGGGTGCTGGTCCCTCTGCCCAGAGCAGCCTGGTCCCCCGCCTGTGTCACGTCCCCACGCGGGGGCTTGGCAAGAGGCGGATGATGAGAGGCGGATGATGCTTCTGTGCTTTCAAACTTCCTCTACACGTTTCTCAACCACCTCTTGCGAAAGGTCTGGGGGCAGCAGATGATGAAGCTCAGGAGATGCCGCAGCAGTGGAGCCGGCTGTGCGTGCCCTGCGCCACTGCCGTCCTCTGCACGTGGGGTGTATCAGCCCCCACCGAGGGCAGGGGCCCTGCTCCAGGGCTGCTCCCCGGATTCGGGTGTCACCTGAGAAACATGGGCTCACCTTGCAGAAGCCCAGACCGCTGCTGCTCAGGCAGGAGACTGAGGCTCAGCCTGAATGATGCACTTGGATGCAAACAAACCAGGTTTCCGTCCTTTCGTGCTCATCTTCTGGGACAAACTTGTCTTGGTGTTGAGAGCAGCTACCGCGTTAGCCTTGACGTGGCTTTGAAGGGAAACACCAAGGGCTGAAGCTTTCAGCTGCAAGCATCAGCCTGCGCTGGGGATGCAGCGGACTAATGCCCTGGGCAAAAAGCCTTTAACTTGAGGAATCTGGAGAAACTGTGCTCCTGGTAACTCTGATCAGTGAGATCCAGTAATTGCGCAGGCAGTGAGAACATCTGTGGGTACATCAAATACTGCTGGAAGTCAGAAGGGATTAACAGCTGCCAAAAATCCTCTCCAGGCTCTGTGGGAGCCAGCCGTGGCCTGGAGGGGTCAGAGCAGCTTGTCCTACAGTGGGTCCTCCTGGGAGCGTCCAGTCAAGGATTTTGTCCCGTCCTGGGGATGGCTGCGGCGGGGGGGCTGCGGGGGGTACCAAGGGCAGTCTTGTTGCTGCCCTGGGTTTTTTCTGGTGCGAAAGATGTGGGGTGCAGCTGCAGCCCTCCAGCCAGCAAGGCTCTGGTCCATGTGCTCCCAGTGCTGCTCAGCTACAGCAGGAGTTATCTGCTCAAACATGATGGTTTCTGCGTGACTGTGACACCGGTTCTGCGTGCCACTTGCCCAGTCCGGGATTGCAGCGCTCAGCAGTACCTGGCCCCTGTTACCCGCAGGCGGGTTTAAGCAGTTCTCCCACCTCTCTCCCGCGTTGCTTAAAAATGTTCCTTTAAGAAATGACGTGTATTGAAATCTCATTCAATTCCGTCGCAATAACTACACTGGCATGGCAAGCGTTGCCAAAATTAACCCCTCGAGGAGCCGTGTAGGCTACGGGGTGGCTGTCTCTGCTGCTCCAGCTGTTTTTAGGGAGCGGGGAGCAGCGGCATCGCCGGTTCCCGCGGGGCTGAGCCGGCTGGCTCCTGGTGCATCACGCCTGCACGGCAGCGAGCTCGGAACCCTCATCCCTGCTGGCTCTGGCTGCAGATCCACCCAAGGTGGATTTTGTTATTGCCTGCCTGCAGGAAGAGCGGAGACCCTGCGATTTTCCTGGAGACCTCGGGAGTTTCTCCCTGCCTGACCGTGCATGCGGGAAGGTGTGTTGGCACCCATGGGTGCGTAGGTGAGGGGGCACTTGGGACGGTGGCTTTCTGTTTGTGTGGCGAGGTGCAACACGGTTGGCTGGATTAGGGAACCTCTTTACTGAGATGCTTCAAAGGGGACTGCTCTCCTCTTTTGGTGAGAAGCAGGAATGGCGTCTGCCTGACTGGCACCAGCAATGCAGAAATGGGAGAGATTCAATGCAGGAAATGTGGTATCGCATCTGCAGCTGCGAGGGGAGCTTGCTTTTTGGAGTGCCTTGTATTTTGTGCCCTTGTTTTCTCCTGACTGACAAAGCCAAGCGGCCATGGGAGGCAGCACGGCGTGCCGGCAGGCGCAAGCAGCTGGGATTTGCTCAATGTTTTAGTTGTACAGAGCATGATGTTGCGGTCATCTAGCAAAGCTCTGACCGGCTCCACTGCTGAGACCTGCGGGCGGAGGTCTGTGCCCGCTGCGATAACCGCAGCCTCTCCCCCGGGCTCCCCAGTACTGGCACTGCCCTGTTGCCCGTGGTCCCTGCTAACCAGAGCTGTGTGCTCAGCCGGTCCCGTGGCCGGGGGGGCAGGCGGGGAGCCGGGCCGGGTGTGTGGTGCCAGATGAGACTCAGTCTGGTTTTTTTCCAGGTGCGGGGGTGCCCAGGCGGGTCAGGGCTTCGAGCTGCGGCAGCCCCAGGACAAGGTGTTGGTGACAGCGGGGGAGACGCTCAACCTGACCTGCACCATGTCCGGAGGCGGTCTCCCTGGTGCCGTGAGGTGGCTG